CCTGAGGAGTGGGATGGTTGAGAGAAGGGCTGGACTATACTGTATACTGTACTGTGGTATAAGACAGTGCTGGCTTTCGTTTTACTTTACTGGATGGATTTTAGTGCAAGACAGTGCTTGCTGTAGCAGAACACTTATTCTAGTCCAATTGGTTGACTGGTTAACTGTACACGGGGAGAGAGTTAATCACCTCTATTTTCCAGGCTGAGTTGATGTAACGAATGCAAGAGCTGCAAAGGATATGATGAAGTGTTGTATCTACGACGTCACGAGAATCAGGAAAAATCTTTTTCTTGGTTTGTTCAAACGTGAGACTCGGCGGTTGGTGTTCGTTCTGCCTCTGCAGCCACAACACACACCTGCCTCGTCACCCCTCCAGATTATATGTATTACAGTAAGTAGTGGTAGTAGTAGTAGATACGTGACAAGGTGATGTGAACCAATGCCTCCAAATGTCCAGATGTCCATACGCGCACACACAAAAAAAAAGCAAACAGCCGCTTCCAAAACTTTCACATGCTTGTTCCCAAAACAAGAAGTTATGATTGAACCCTTGGCTCAAAGGTAAGGAAAAAGAAATGCTCCTGGAATCAACCACACGTGGCCTGGGGGATATATATGTAATGCCAACAAGGGTTCCACAGATGAAGAAGAAAGTCAAACGAAACCAGTCATGGCCCTGACGGAAGATAAAATGCAGGGGGGGGGGAATAAGTACATGTGACCGGTGAGCTGGGTGGGGGGTATTATTATTCGCACAATTCCGAGCAAAATAATAACTCAGAAGTCATTCGGGGTTTTGTTGTTGGCAAACGTGTATGCCTCTGGTTTCTGCGAAGGAAGCTGTTGTGCACCATATCGCTGGGCCTCCTGCTGCTCGGGGAACTCATAGATGAATTCCCGAGGCTTCGAGTCGCCTCCCAGCGCAGCTGACATGGGCATGTCCACATCGGTAGTCGTGTACACCAACGACGGAGAGTCCGTCACGGGAACATGTTCGGCGCTGTTGTCATACGACATCGAAGCCATGTCCGGCTGCGGTGTGACTTGGCAGGGGCTTTGGAAAGAAGCTTCCGGGGATGACATGGAGGTCGCATCGGGCCAGCTTCTGCCTGTCATCGAGGTTTCGCATGATGTGTAGTCATGGAAGGAGTTGTAGTGAGCGGGAGCCGACATTGGCGGAGCGCCCCCGTGAAACGGATACCCGGAAAGCATATCCACTGCCAACGGTGTCGCCGGAGGGGAGGCAATGTTGATCTGCATCGGCTGTGTCGTGGGAAACAGCTGGCTGGTGGGTTGTGCTGACAGACAGTAGCCTGCATCACTTGGGGTGTTCGGAAGCAAGTGATGCAGATCCTCTGGGGTCAGAGGGGTGGGGGGTGCTAATCCACCTGCGGTCACCGTGGGTTGCAACATCGATGACATTTCGGCTTTGGAATTGAGAGATCCCGCTTCGGCAAAAGTCGAAAGGTTGAGAGGCGAGCGTTGTGCGGCAGACGCCTTTCTCACACCTGCGTAACGAGAGTTGAGTCCTTGCGCCGATTTCGAGTGTCTCATGCTACCGTAGCCAGGGAGTCTCCCTGTTGGTGACATAGCCGACGAGCCTGAGAGCATAGACGAAGACCTAGAGGTACCAATCGCAGCAGGCCTCGGGCGTTTTCTGCGAGCAGCCAGGTCAAGCTCCTTGCCTGCCTCTCTCCACGATGCTCGGTCGGCCCCGTGAACGAGCTGCGACAGCCCTTGCGGAGTGTTGATTCCAATACCTTCGAAGCTGTCAGCGAGCTCGTCGGACGAGCCCCGTCGACACGATTCTAGGTCTTGATGGATGGGATATTGAACCGTATTGTAGGAAGCCTCCGCGTCACTAGCTGATCGGTACCCGGAGATTGGCTTGGTCGACGATTGCATGTGACCGGCCCAGTCTTCAGAGTGGAGCTGCATACCGTGAGGGCTTTCAAGAGTGGGAATAGTCAGCGACTCGCCACCCGCGGTTACAAAGTCCAGGGAGGTCTGAGATGGCTCCCAGGGAAGCGTCGTCTGTGCATACGAAGGACTCAGATCACCCGAGCTAACTCCGTGTTCGTCATGGCTATCACTTCGGGGGTTGGCCGCGAAGGTCGTGGTAGGAGACACCGACCCATCCACGCTAGCCGGATGGCTGTTGTCCCCGTCTTGGCTGTACCGATCGCGCGCCGCAACAGCAGCGTTCAAAGCTCTTTGTAGAGACGCGAAAGTTGCCTCTCGGGCCGACTCACTCCTTGTCTTCTGGTGCTTGGACCGCGAAGAGGAAGAGGTCGTCTTTGTCCGCTCACTAGGCTTCTCGGTCGATGGCTTGGGAGTATCTTCGTGCGCCTCATCGCTCTTAGTCTTGGAGTCTTGATTCGACGCGGACGAGGTCTCTGTGTTGTCTGACTTCCCCCGAGCAGCCTCTTCGGCCTCGGCCTTGGCCTTCTGCATTCTCTCGAATTCCTCTTGGCGCTTCTGTTGCTTCGCCTTTGCCCGACGGTTCTGGAACCAGTTCTAAATAACCATTAGCTTTGAAATCTCCCACAATCTTTCATTTCACGATCGAAGACCACTAACCGCTACACGGGGGAGGCTGAGATTCGTTTGCGCCGCCAATTGACGCTTGACATTGCTGCTGGGCTTGGGGTGGGCTTGAAATTGGGCTTCCAGAGTCTCCACCTGTTCCTTGGTCAACCTCGGACGCGAGAGGTTCTCTGCATATTCGTCGTAGTCCATGATAGGCTGGTGATAGAAATCGACCATGTCGAACGGGGGGTGTGGGTAGAGATAGCCATCCATCGGGTGCATCATGGAGGGATGGGTCATTGTCGGATCGAAGGCTACCGGTTGATGATCCATTGGCACGCCCGTAAAGGCGTATGCGTGATGAAGGTAGTTCATGTTGACGGACGAGAAAGTGTAGGAGAGACGAGCGAGGAAGGAGGATATGAGACGGGTGGTCTTGTATGGGGGAGTTGTCTGATTGGGATGGGGTGCGGTGCGGTGCGGTGCGATGCGATGCGATGCGGTGCTGGTGACCAAGTGTTCGAGGGATCCTGACAAGCTGCTGCCAACCGAGCTGCAACTATGACGAGGACAGGGACTTGGTCATTGAACAATTGGACCACCAAAGACTGACTGATGACGATACTAGATAGGAGTAGGAGGGGCGAATAGATGTGGGATAGGGCGGGAAGATCGGATCTTAAAGGACGAGGATAAGAGATGAAGTGGCGGTAATGATTGGAACGAGTAGACTGGAAGTAGCGGGGAGTATATAATTCTATACCTGCAGTCGATCTGTGGATTCTCGTGTAAAATAGGAAAAAAGAAAACAATTGTCAGAGAGTGTAAGAGGAGTAGCCCAGGAGAAGATAGTGGAGGTGGATGCGACGAAGAAGGGGGGGGGGCGACAGCCAAAACGCAAGAGGATCAAGGAAGGTATAATTATTATGTCCGATGAGGAAACACAGAAAAGGAAAAAGGAGAGAGCGACTAAGCTGACTGGGAAAAGCAAGAATAAAAAGTGTGAAAATGAATGACTGAAAGAGGAAAAGGAGAGTAAGAGGTGAGGTGAAGTTTGAAGGGAAGGAAAATGAGAGAGTGACGATGGATGATGGGATAGGGACAAAAGGGAAAAACAAAAAAGAGACAAGAAAGCAGAGGATGGAATGGATTGGATTGACAGAGGCAGGCAGAGCTAAAGACAACAGCAGCAGCAGCAGAGCAAGACATTAGAGCAAGAGACAAGACAGCAACAGACAATTACAGACGAAACAGACGAAACAGACCAGACCAGACCAGACCAGACAAGACAAGACAAGACAGTACAGAGCTGGTACAATCAGTGCAGTGGTCAGTGAGTGAGTGACTGTTCAGCTCCATACTGCTTTGCTCAGTTGGGATTGGTTGGCAGTGAATGGAGTCAGTCGACAGAAGGTGTGGAGGGGAGACTGATGATTGGCGATCGCCCAACCGGAACTGGCTGGAGGTGCAAAGCTGCAAAGCTGCAAATGTGCAAATGTGCAAATGTGCAAAAAAAAAAAAAAAAAGACTCCAAGATTCAAGTCTGGGCCGGCTCAACTAGTATCAGGGCCGTATTGTAATCCTACACTGCTGGGAAATCTCCTGCAGCCTGCTCTTTGCTTTTTCTCCCTTTCCTTTCTTTCCTGCTGTTGATTTACACCATCAATTGTTGGCTGAATCTGATGGTTGCTGTCTTCATCAGCTCCCACCCAAACTTCTCATTCATCGTTTCCCTTATCAACAATGCTCTACCATTGAATCGCCCAGCCAAGAGCCAGACGATACCGAGGAACCAGATGGATCCATGATCATGGATGGATGGAGCAAGTTCCTGCCCGTTCGGGACTAGCCGAGCTGACCGGATAACGAGCCCATTACCAGGTACCGTACGGGAGGGATTTCTCCAATTTATTCTTTTGTTTTACAGAAATAATAATGTTCCTGGATGGATTTTATTTTTCAGTTCCAGTTATGGCGTTCCACTTCCACTTCCACTTCCATCCGCCCCTCCCCCTTCCCTTCCCACCCCCAAAAGACAGCCCAGAGAGCAAAGCGCTTTCTACCTAAGGGGGTGGCGGGCTGGGCTTACACATTTCTATCACCCACCTACCTACGAGTACGAAGCCCTTCAGGAGTGTGTGTGCCTCCACGGTTGCCCGCTCGCTCGCTCTTTCTCTGTGTCTCCGTACCCTTTTTATTTTTAAAAATAACTCACCCTCAAGGCTGGCGGGCTAGCTGGCATACCCCCATTCCCTGGTGGTTCCAGAAGAGCAAAACAGAGCGAGGCGTGGGCGGTCGGTTCCGGGTATCCCTGGATACTGTTTGTACTGTGTACAGTACTTCTGACAGTCGTACTTATCGACTCCGTAGCTGAAGCACAGTACGTGTACTTCCGAGCCTACAGGTGCCACTGCCCCCTCCTTCTCCTCTTTCTTCTTCTCCAAAAGAACAATTGAGTCAGAAAGAGCCAGATATTGCCAAGAGGGTCTCAGCAGAGTGAATCAAGTCCCCCTCCGCGGTGGCGGTGACGGTTGGTCTATCTTTCGGGGCTCAGGATCGGTCGCTATCGCCAGGCCGATCGTACGGAGACGAAGGAATGGGTCCACGATGCAACCTGTGCCTCAGAGGATGGATGCTCAATTGCTTTTTTTCCCTTTCTCGTTATCGTCAGATCCGTCCGAGCGGTGCCGGAAGAAGAGGGCGGCGCGCCCCAGATGGATCGGAGTCCATCTTTCCCTAGCAAGAGGAGGAGGAGGAGGAGAAGGATGATGCTCTCCGCCCGTGCCGGAAATGCGAACGACCTATTGGTCTGACTCTCCTTTGCACCCTGGAGTCCGATGGTTCTTATCATATTATGAGTTTTTGTGGATGGATGTGTAGTACATACAAGTTTACCTGCTCACGTAACTGTTGGAGGATGGCTTGGCGGAGATCTAAGTTTGTTGAGTGTGTTCCTCCCCCCTTAGACCAGAGCCCTCAGAGCCCTACGTACAGTACCACACTCGGGCCGCGGAGCTTTCTGGGTCAACCACGGATTACTTGCTCTGCCCCTTCCGCATAACCGCCTCGTCTCGACATCCAGACTTCTCCCCTCTCCACCTCCAATGCTTCCCGGGGAATGCGAACTCTGAATTCCAGTCAAAGTTTGGCCGATTAAGCTCCTGTGTCAGCTCGAATTGACAGTCTGGCCCATTTCCCCGGGATTCATGATTCAGAACATGGCTGGAGGTGCGAAATCTGCGTAGAGCGCCCATCCGTACGCCGGGCTGGGAGCGTTCCCTGGATTTTCGTCAGTTCCTGCATTAGCGCCACTAACATTAAGGGCCGATTTTAGCTCTTACCAGGGGGAGGGGTTCCATCTGGGAAGATCCGATAAAGACAGTTGCTTGTAGTTCCATTTGCACCCTCCTCCATGGTTAGCAAGATGATAACAGCTGGGGCAGTAACAGCAGCTGCTGCTGTTACTGCTGCTCACCCTTCCAAGTGCAGGAAGAGCTGCAACGTCACGTCTCACGTCTTACCGTGCAGAGAAAAAGCAACTTTCGACAAGACCGTCACGACCCCTCAAGTGGGTCCTGCGCTGAATAGAGTCAGTTGGTAGCCTGAGGGAAAGTCTGGCACAACCAAGATATGAGTAGGTGTGCGATGGGTTTGGCCCAGCTCAGGGTTTGATCCTACTGGGCCATACAGCGATCACGGGGACTTTGGGGAGGGAATCGGGGGTGCGGTCCATGGTTTGTCCCAAGCGGCGCTTAGATTCACCGTACGTACAGTAAAGTACATATGCTGTATCCGGTTTAGTTCCCCAGCGGTCCGAAGATCCCTCTCTTGTCCGGGAGGCCCCCCCCCCCCCCAACTTCCGATTGATATTTGATGATCTTAAGAAGAAAAGAAGTAAACCCTTGGGCCTTGGGGGCCCTATCATATGAAACCTTAGGCACACTTGGCCCATGAATGATTAACAACCAGCACGTCTACCGTAGCCTAGTCCAGTACATAGGCTCGGGCTGTCATCACATGATGGCAATCCTCCTGTCGGGTCTCCGCAAAAGCATGATGGGCATGATGTGATGATGGCTCGGGGGGGATTCTGTCTGGGTCAAGGTTCACTTATCTTATTACGTTTAGCCTCGTACTGTACTCCGTACTGTACATCCGCAATACTCACTTACACCCACGGTACAGGATGTACTGTACGGTATGCACCCCTACCTTCGCACTTCCTCGAGAACGCACAATAGCGAAACAATCAAGCGGGGAAGTGGCCGACCAGAAGGAAGCATTGAGTCAATGCGTTTTCTGGGGCCTACTTTTACTGCATGCAGCAAAAGCGAGACTGCGCATTGGCATAATGGCGTGAATAACCTTCATTGTTCCGTTTGGGTGAACCAAGGACCAGGACCAGGACCAGAACCAGAAAGCAGCTGGCACGGATCTCCAGGACCTGCCTGTCAACCTTCTTTTTTCTCCCTGCCCGCAAGGTTCCTACGGTAGGTCAGGAAGAGCTTGAATTTCCTGGATCTGCAAAGGCCGAACCCCCCGGTCAGCACTAAAGCAATTCGAAAGGGAGCAATTGAGGAAGACACCTCAGGAAAGTCAGCACTAGAGAAGATCAGACTTGAAGATTAAAGACACTGGGGGTGTGTTTGCTGCAAGTTGCAACAGCGTGGCAGCTCAACCAGCCTAAGGCCCCACCGCAATCCAATAGTCGACAGATCCTCCGTCGATCAGCCTCAGGGATCTGTGGGTTTTTTTTTTCGAACGAACGAGTTTCGACTTGCCTTCCCTGTCCCTTCCATTCGAATAGCTTACTTCCGAGTTGGAAGTGAATCTGGTGAATGAAATTGGATACCAACATTCCTTCCATCTAAAGAATGTGCTCCCAGACAGCGGCCCGTTCTTGCCTGTGGCAGACTGTCAAAAATGACTCGGGAGAAAAACTGGAAAAAAACATGCTCTTTCCTTTTTCGGTGCTAGTTCGGCATGCAGGCCGAAGAAGCGCCCGCGCGTCAATCAATCTCATGGGCTTACCTGCCTCCAGTACTCCGTAATCCGTAGTACTCTCCGTACGGGTCGGAGTAGGTAGTCACTGGAGAAGCTGCTCACGGCCTTTCCAATTTTCATGGTCATGTTAGGGGCTTCTTAGTTCAAACGCCATCATATGCGCTCTCGCCACACCGGTGCTCGATGGGCATTCAGTCGATTACTCCGTACTGTAACTACGGAGGCACAGCAATACTTACGGCTCAAAGATTCGCCCATCTGATATACATCTGCATGCATGCCATGTGTGCATGGGTCACTACCCTGTCCTTCGGCTGCCTTTGTGAGGTTATTGAGCCCTTTCGGTCTGTATGCAGTAATCTTGGAGGCATTGGTTCCGTTGACAGTTAAAACGTTACCAGGTTCGAAGGCTCAATCGCGATCCCAGGCGATCACTGCATCCATTGTGTTGATTCCACGCTAAAGTTCTCTGGGAAGGCTCTCAAACCTACCAGAAGCCCAGTCTTGCCTCCTAGTGCATGCTTGTCTCCGGAATCTGGTGTGCCTCATATTCATAGATGCCTGTGGCTTTGGGGAAGGACTTCGAAACATGGGTGAACACCAATAACTGAATTCCGGAGCAACGGATCGTCAGTATGTGCAGTACGGATGGTGGATGGAGAAGTCGTCAGTCTCACTATGTCCACCGTCATAGCTCCCGACGGGGCTAGATGCTGACTTACTTTCTGACTGTTGCTTGTAGGCTCCTCCGGGACTCCGCTCGGGTGACCGGGGATTGCATCAAACCAAGCACCTGTTTGCATCGATCCTTCGCTGGTTCACGTGTGGGATACAGCTATTCGGTTGAACTTATCGCGATAAGCGGTTCAGGCCACTCAATGCGTGCTCCAGATTACAGTTACCCACTTAGCATGGGTGATGGTTTTGAAGTACGGAGTAGAGGGTGGGGGTTCATGTTGAGTAACTTGGCCCTTGGACCAACCAGCACTGGCAACACCATGCATCACATCTTGGAGCTAACCAACAATCCCTCCATCTACAACAAACACAGAATTTCCGGGGCATGGGAGGGGATTCTCCTGTCTGGAATAACCCCCCCTGGGGCGATCCCGCAAGCATCCGCACAGATCCTTTCCCCAGTGGTTTGCTGAGGATCAATGGGATCGAACAGAGGCCGTTGTCGACCGACAGAGAGGGGATTCTCAAAATATGGACCCTGGAAAGGGGAGCAGCAACTGCAAGTGGGATGCAGAAAAAGGAAATAAAATCCCCGATGATCCTCGGTGCATGGATGTGATTATTCTGTAATACCTGGGCAGAGGGGGGGGGGAGCGTGTACCATGATGAGGAGCGTCGATTGCACTACAGCCCGCCCTTCCTGGAAGCCTCATTTGACGATAATCTCACCAAGCCCGTAAGCTCGACTGGGGCCCGCAGGTCGATCCCCTCCTCATGAATGACATGGGGGCATCCCTGTCTGGGTATAAGGTTGACTTGGCACCGGGGGATCCTCCTCTACTGCCTGTAATCCACCACCCGGACAGTTCAAACCTCCAGCGCTTCCACTCCCCTGGGTCAGATCATTGCTCATTGCGTCCGCCGTCGACAAAGCAGACTAGGCTGACCCTCAGGCGCTGCACTGCCGGTCGGCACTTTTAGCATGCGACAATCATTTTCTATCAGGGGCTGATGGAAGAATTATAGAAGGAAGACGGCGAACGAACACTCCACGCAAAGACAGCGGGCTCGAGCTTTGGGCGTGGTGTGATCGCAAGCTATCAGCCCCTCCTTAGACTCCTTGTCTGCATGAACCGACATTTGGATTCCTGGTGGTGTCTCCGTCGGTGCGACTTGAGCCGTTCCTGTAGCAAGACCTGCAGCGCCACAGTGCATGAAGTGGCGGTGCTGAATGGTCGGAGTAAGCTAGCTCAGTCTGGTAGCATCAGCCACTATCCATGATGATCGACACCACCTGACTATTATAGCGGTGCCTTAGCCCTGAGGCAACCTTTAGCTTGGGCTTAAGTTACCGGTAGAAGTGAAGCTGCTGCAGTAGTGCAAACTTACCTGAGTTCACCACACCACCAAAACTTATCACTCCTCCACTCCACTAAACTCGCATCGGCTCCAAACTCAGAAACCTGGCTAGATCGTATCAGGATCGTGTCATGTTCTGTGAGAGAGAGCCACAAAAGAAAAGCATTCCTAGGATTTGTCAGTTCGCCACCACGGCTCGATCCATAGGCCATGGCCCTACGATCGTCCTACTATCCCTGCTCCTGACCCGGGCATCTCTGATTCTATCACTTTGTGACTGTACGACTCTGCTCAGCACTTTAGGGTGGCCGCCGCTATTCCTGAGGAGTCCCTTGTCAAGTTCCAATTTCGACCAGGACGGTGAATGTTTCGGTGACGCTTGGCGGACGATGGCACACCAGGCGATTGAGATCAATTCATTGCTGCCTGAAGCAATGCTCCTGTAACAATCTAAGCCCTGTTTTGATCTCTTGCTCAGTGTTTAATCTCTTCTGCTAGCCCAGTATTTCCGGATGGCAAGCTCTCAATCCGATTCAGCCATCGTTATTGCGGATTCCGCGGTATACGGTCCCGCCGAAGCCTCCAGAAAGTTGTGTCTTTCGGGGAGCAACAAAACCGAGAAAGAAACAAGAAAAATCACATCCAGGGAAGCGAAAAGCTCCATCCCTTGCAGAGGGCGTCAGACACAGCTTTGAAGGCTCTCTCGACTGAGAAGCTCGGCTCGATCTTCCAGCCCGGGAGCTGCAGCAGGGATCATGACGATCCACACGGACCTCGTCCGCAAATTTCGACATGTCTGTTTTCCAGAACCTGATCTGCCTTTTCGGTCAACGAGGCGAAATCTCTTAGGACTTGCACTTGTGCGAACATCGCCGGCAAGAAGGAGACATGTCTCTTTTTTTTCCTGTGATGTTTAGCTTCCCTGGAAGCTGTACAGAAGATTCTGCAGGTCTGACTCTGCTCGTGTACCTCTCAAACGGGTGGTGACCCTAGGATAATCTGGGATATAGGTTCGTTTCGATCCTCATACGCCGCCCGGGTCTTAGCTTATTGCGTTTCAGTCTCGGTCTACGTCGGACAGCATTATCTGCAGCGAAGAAAACCGCGTCTCCACATCCAGTCGGACTGAGAACTATGTATTCGGTCTAGACGAGCCACCGTTGGAGCAGTTGTATGGAGGTCGGTAACGGCTGGTGCGAGAGTGCACTGCGGCAGCCACCATGCAATAAGACCGATGTCTGTTGCTGGTGGTTTGTTCGTTTTCTTCCGAAAAACGCCCCCATCCTTTTTCTTTTCCAAGGCACGGAAAACCACAGAGAGAGGACTTCTTGTTGCAAATCATGGACCCATCTGTGGTGGGGGAGGAAAACAAACGCGCATACATACGTGATACATCTCCGGGCTCTTTTTCTTCTGTCTCCCAAGATTTGTCGGTGAGCACGCACGCTTTGCGACGACCCTATTCAACAGTCAACCGTTTAACTTAATCTGATGATTTATTGCATCGATTACAATCCCGAGACCTTCCTATTCCGCTCCAATGGATAGGATCTGTCACGGTAGGGCGAGGCCTTCGTCGAAGGTCGGTGAAGATGAACGACTTCTTTTGTGGTCGGACAATATTTTGCCATTCTTCATCGGGAGAAAAATCACTCGGGTTCCTTCTGTGTTTGCCCGCTCTTTTTTCCTCTGAACAACCCCGGTGGTTTTCTTTTCCTGCAGGAAGGAAGGTCACGGCTCACCGCTAGCTACGGTACTCCGTGGTTAGTAGACCATCATCACAGCGGAAGGGCCACAAGTCTTCGTTCGGGGTTTCGGTGTCCAATACGAACAATACCATGGAGGTTCCCGAGACACCGGATGGAAGAGACTTGCTCCCTGCTAGCGGTAGGGATACTGGACCTCTGACCTGGCCAATCCCGGTGGGGGGTCGTGTGGGGGTTTCGAGGTGTAGATTTCGGGAGTACCGCGTAGGTAGCTCGCTTACTCCGTACGGAGACTCGTCGCCCCCTCCTCTTCTGCTGCTGCTGCTGCTGCACTTGTGACCTTGAATGCTGTCTGTGAAACGGGCACAATGTGTTCCAGCGGGGGTATGTACTGTCCTGTACATGTACAGTCTACCAAGGTCACTCCGTAGCCTCCTCCAGACTAATCCCATAGCTATCCCATAGCTATTCCACACCAAGAAGCGCAGTAACCTCCTGCACACATGTACCAGTAACCAAAGCCCCAAGAACAAGTCACCCGGTACCCAGTAGTTAACCAAGAATAGCCCCGTTCCCCGAACACTAAACAAATCTAGCCCGAAGGGTATTGCAGTCTGGAAGACGAAACAACCCACCCCATACCAGTATACAAGCATGCATGCTCCGCCGGGGGGAGGGGGGGGGTCATCGCGCGAAGCTCGAAAATTGCAAATTGGCATTCATTCCATCCATTGCCACAGAAGACAAACTGTTCCACTTGGGAGGCGAGGTGGCTGGTTCGGATGCCAAATGCCACTGTCTGGTGCCATTCACCGAATTGCTGTCGGGATTACGTGCTGTCAAGGATTGCTCTTGGGGTACGGAGTACGGTATGGGACTTGGTTGCTGGATAAGGTATGGGCTTAGCCTACTAGTTATACCTTAGTCTATAGCGGAGGGCGGAGTAGTGGTTGGTAAAGTGGGTGTTGGGGTTTACAACATGTTGCTGCTGGTGCAGTGTTTTCGTCACTAGGTTGAGGAGGAAGTTTGATATCAAGTACAGTAAGTACGCTTCATGTACATATCTCTCTGGTGGCGAGGTGGATGGCAACAACAGTCTCGACATGCTGTGCCTCGTGTAGTAGTTCAGTCACAGTCATACTGTGACATCGTTCGCCCATACCAGGGCCTCAGGCCTCGGCGCGTGGGTTGATACATAGTTACCTCCCTGATTACTTGGTAAGTACCCCAGTGATATCTAGATATCTAGATGTCCACTGACAGCAATTGAGCATTGCATTCAAACACTAAGTCCCAGAGCCCTCCTCACTTATCAAAACTAGTTACATCTCCCCCTACATCCTCTAACGTCCAAATTAATATCATTTACGTCATTGATACCCTTCTATCTTTCCACAGAAACCAGAAATCTCAACAACTTGCTACAGCATATCCACACTCTAAACCACCAGACTCCCTCACTATGGCCTCGGAAATAAAGTAAACCCACTAGACCAAAGACCAACTCCCCATCCATCCACACTCCCATCCCCAACGAACTGCACATCGACAACACATGTAGACCATGAAGACCCGAAAGCGCGTGAGCAGCGCACCCCGCAAAATCCACCTACAGCATCTACCTGACCCGAATTCAATCCCATAGATCTGAAGCCAGAGCCATACCGCAACCGATAATCTGTTCTCATCGGCCGTTGATGAAGTATGCCACAGGGCACGGCTGACGGGTCTGGACCCTTTGCTTCCGGGCTACCTGTTCGTTTTACCTGTGCCTTGTTCTGGGTATCACGATGAGATTGGGGTTGTGAGTCGGTATCTGTGGGTGAGTATGTAGGTATGTACAATTGGTTGAGGGGGGCAGTATGTGGGATGGAATTTCTTCTGTCGTCATAGGGTTCCTTCCTTTGATCTGCACGAGAATTCTGCACGAGAAAGGAGAGTCGGGATATATATCTCTGGTTCGACATTATAAAAGTATGAGGTGAGTAAGTGGGTAAGAGGGCCTGGGGATCTACATGGGTCTCTGGGTGGAAGGTAACTAGTGGTCATGGTTTGTATGAGGAAGTCAATAGTGTGTTCCTCTAAGGCCGTTCGAGTGGCTACTTAGTCGGCCGCTTACAGAATTTAGGAGCTGGATGGTTTGGATCGGCTTGTCGGGTCTAGCCTGGTATGGCGAGGTCTAGTGCTACTACTGTACGGGATACTTGTCGGGTCGGGTTGTCGCGAGGACTTCATGGGTACTGTACATGGGCATGATACCAGGTCTATTCACCTTGATGTTCGGTGTTCACCGGCGGGGTTATGGCGAATAGAGTACATCCTCTGCCAGAAGGGCAGGATGGATGTGTCGGGTTGTGTAGATCTATGGCTGCATGGGCATCGGGTCTGATTCTGGGAGTTATCTGATACTTCTGTGTAGCTGGCTGGCTGACCATTCTAGTCTTATGTCTATCTATGATGCTAAATATGTACAATGCGAATGTTGTCAGGTCTGTGTCTATCTAAGCTGGAAGGCAAATCTTGGCTCCAAAGATACAGCAGTAGGAAACAGAGAAATCACCAAGAAGGCATCTTCATCGAGGGAAGGGGGGTGGGTCTGTCACTACTACTTCCATGCCGAGCCAGTCTAGCCTCTTTCTATCCTTCTATCCTGCGCATCTATGCCTCAAAGGCATTCCGCACCTCCAGCTCAATCCGTCCATCCACCACGCTCTTGACGCTGATGCTCCGCAGGTCCTCGATGATCACATCCGCCCCGGCCGCCTGAAGTTGCTCCAGCGTGTGGGTCGTCGTCAACGCAATGACTGTGAACCCAGCCGCCTTGCCTGCCTTGATTCCCGAGGGCGCATCCTCCAGCACGACCAGCGCGGGCGAATGCTCCAGACCCAATCGTGTCCGACCCAAGAGATAGCACCGCGGGTCGGGCTTGCCCAGCTCGACGTCCTCGGCCACAACCAACACGTCCGGGTGCGTGAGGTTCAGCACGCCCAGCCAGCCTTCGAGCAGGGCGCGCGTTCCGGATGTCACCACCCCCCAGCGAGCGCCCGCCTCGTCCAACGCTGACAGCAGGGACCGCGCGCCGGGAATCTCAACGGCGTCGGATCCGTACTCCTGAGGGATACGACCCTCCACGTAGCTGACGTCTGTGGTGTTGTCAGCGCTGCGCTGTTGTGCGTTTGCTTTTTTTTTTTTGGTGGACTTTCACAGCAAGGAAGGGTCTGTGTGTTGAGGAGATCGGGTGTTGCTTTGGAGGGGATTCAGGAAATTCGATCTGAACTGTGTAATGGCATGCGTGTACAGTACAATCAAAAAAAGACTTACACTCCCAGTTGGCCTTCGTAGGGTCATACAGCTGCAGCGTATCAATGCTTCGGCGTCCGTGTGAGGTCGCCAGGATCGTCGCGGGGTCGACGCCTAACTCCGCGCCAATTCTGCAATGGCGAAATGTCGCCACGGTTAGCGATGTTCCGACAGAAGTTGTACGGGCTGCGGTTTGGGGTTGCTGTATAGAGGACTGGACTGAACTAACTTGTGCCAATGTTTCACGATCGCTGGTGCGGGGGCGAAAAGAGAAGGATCAGAGCGTCAGTTTCGATCGATCGAGGTGCCAGTGTGCGACGGGGCGAGAATGCAAATCATAAATAGACTTATGGCAAATTTTCCGAGGGCACTTACCATCGGTTGAGTCGACGATGGTACCGTCGAAGTCGGAAAGGAGACCGTCAAAGGTGAGGATTTGCGGAGGGGCAGAGAACGAGCCGGTTGAGTTGGACATGATAAGAGCGGGGTCCGGAGTAGGACAGCGGACTGGTGATGCAGAAGAGTGGAGAGAGGTGCTGTAAGCAGTAATAGAGATTCTTTCTAGAGCGAAGCTGTAGGATAGAGCGAAGTAAGGAGCGGACACAGTCCTTTGCGAACGATTGACGGGAATAGGCCGAAGAGTAAATGTACCGATTGTTTTTGCGGGATGGGATGAGATGATGGAGATAAGTGATTGATTAGGTGATTGTCCCGCGCGAGACACAGAAGCCTCGGAGATCGGCCAAACATGGGGCCGGTTATCTTAGCGTCAAATCTTGGCGGCACAAAATTGTTGTTCGCAGCGACTCGATTTTCGCTGGCCTCGCAGATCAGTTTGCTCGGCCTTGATCGCTTCTTCGTGTCTGTGATTTGATCTGTGCCAGATTATTCAAGATGGTCAAGCTCGGTAGGTTTGCTCCTGCACTACTTTTCCTCTTTCGCAGAAACTGACCCTTTCCCAGGCAAGAACTCCAAGCGGGTGCCCGTCCGCTTGAGGCACAAGATTGAAAAAGCCTCTGCGGCGAAGCAGCGCAAGATGAGAAAGCTCGCCAAGAAGGTAAACACCCTCCTGTCTCTTTGCTGGGTCAGTATATCCAGCTGACACGGCTACTAGAACCCCGAATGGCGGTCCAAGATCAAGAAGGATCCCGGTATCCCCAACCTCTTTCCCCACAAGGACAAGATCCTGCACGAGATCGAGGAGAAGAAGCGCTTGAAGGCGGAGGAGCAGGAACGTATCCGTGAGGAAGCCCGCGCGCGCCGCGCCGCACAGAAGGAATCCGGAGAGCAGGGCGCTCAGACTGGCGCGGCGATCGACGAAAACGATCTTCTCGATGATGAGATGGACGAGGACGATTCGTCGAACCCCATGGCTGCGCTGCTTGCTTCGGCCCGGGCTCGTGCCGCCGAGTACAGCGACAGCGAGGAGGATGACGATGACGAGATGGACGACGACGAGGAGGTGGATGACGACGATGACATGGAAATGGACGAGGAGGAGGGTGGCGCTTCCCTGGAGAACATTGCCGCCCCCTCGTTAGCAGCACAGTTGACCTCCAAGGAGAGCTCGCGGAAAGCCTTCGACAAGGTCTTCAAGCAGGTCGTGGATGCCGCCGATGTGGTCCTGTATGTGCTGGATGCTCGCGACCCCGAGGGCACTCGGTCCAAGGAGGTGGAGCGCGCCATCATGGCCGCCGACCGTGGCTCGAAGCGGTTGATCCTGATCCTCAACAAGATCGATCTCGTTCCCCCTCCGGTCCTCAAGGACTGGCTGATCCACCTGCGTCGCTACTTCCCTACTCTGCCTCTCAAGGCCTCCAACGGCTCGGGCAACGCGCACACGTTCGACCACAAGCAATTGACGGTGAAGGGTACCTCGGAGACTCTCTTCCGTGCTCTCAAGACGTATTCACAGAGCAAGCAGCTCAAGCGATCCATCTCCGTGGGTGTGATTGGATACCCCAACGTCGGTAAATCGTCCGTCATCAACGCCCTGACGGCCCGCATGAACAAGGGCTCCAGCAACGCCTGCCCGACTGGCGCCGAGGCTGGTGTGACCACCAGCTTGCGGGAGGTGAAGTTGGACAGCAAGCTCAAGCTGATCGACTCCCCGGGTATTGTCTTCCCCAACGCGGGCGAGAAGAGCAGCGGCAGCAGCAAGAAGGGCAAGAAGAAGCAGGAGGAGCACGCTCGTTTGATCCTGCTGAACGCGGTTCCCCCGAAGCACATCGAAGACCCGGTCCCCGCCGTGTCTCTGCTGCTCAAGCGGTTGTCCACCTCGGAGGATCTCGTGGCCAAGTTGCTGAAGGTCTACGGCGTGCCGCCTCTGCTCCCTTCCGGGGGTGATCAGACCCACGACTTCTTGGTGCAGGTCGCGCGGAAGCGTGGACGTCTCGGCAAGGGTGGTGTGCCCAACCTGGAGGCGGCGGCGATGACCGTCATCACGGACTGGAGAGACGGCCGCATCCAGGGATGGGTCAACCCTCCTGTGCTGCAGGTGGTGACAACGCCCGCCGACGGCTCGGCTGCGGCTGCGGGTGTGGACACGAAGAAGATCGTGACGGAGTGGGCGGCGGAGTTCAAGATCGAGGGACTCTGGGGCAACGGCGAGGGCGAGGACGAGGAAATGGCTGAATAGATGATTTGTTCAGGATACCAGGCGTTTATGGTTCATAAAAGGTAGATAATTGAGCATGATTTCTTCTACTACTACGTTTTCTTTCGTAAAAGCTTTTCTGCCTTGTGATTATCACCTTAGCTCCTAGTGCCGATGATCGATAACCTGGCCAGGATTATGGTTGTGGTCGTGATGACATGTCAGTATATTTGACCGTTCGAAGAAGTCAGAACATATATAGCACTGCACGCACAGAGAGATGCACAAACCATGCTAAACCAACCCCAGTCACCCAAAGGACAGAAAGAACCAAGCCGCATTACATCCAGCAAACCCCAAACAAGAGAAACATCATCAACATTCAAGATAGAATCACGATCAGACCTTAGCTATACTGTATACTGTAACCATCCACGCATGCACAGTCCCGTGCATTTCCTTATCGCCACCAATCGATAAGTCTTCCCAACCCCGGCCGCGGGAAGAGTAAAATGGGATTTGCTCCACACGCGCTTTTTCCTTCCGACGATCCCCATTCGCGACGCGTCATTTTCACTTTGACTGAGTCGGGTCACAAATTTTTCTATCCAACATCACCTGTTGCATTGTTCTTTTCGAAAAGAGAAACCTCCAAAGCCTGAACCCATCGACCGGCGCACCCTCCGAGACCCCAGAGTTTTTGACCGCCGTGCGAAAGGAAGGGAAATCGGCCACTGGGCATCAAGAAGCCTTCGACGAAAGACTCGATCGCGAACAAACCCTCACTCCCAACCCCAACCCAGTTGCCCCCCCCAAAAAAGAGATATATAAAACAACATGGCTCGCAAATCCACCTCCAACACGACAGCAGCAGCAGCAGCAGCAGAGCCCCCCTCACCCACGACGCAATCCCCTCCCTCCCACCCATCCTCCTCCTCCCCTCAACCCGACACCACAGCGACAGCAGCGACAGCAGCAGCAACACCCAAACCCAGCGGCAGCGGAGGAACCGTCGAAGCCACCGAACAGCAATTGAAAGCCCGCGCAGAAGCAGGCGTAGGCATTGAGGTATGGCCCTTGCCCTTGCACTTGCCCTTGCTATTGCCCCCCCATCCCAGCCCATCCCCCCACAACATCCCATCCCCCGAAACCACACCCACCATACAAGTAGAATACTTACCCGAAAGAAGGACTACCTCCTCCCACGCACCCTCACAATCCGCCTCGCCAAATCCGTCCTCCCGCCCAACACCTCCCTCCAAAAGGACGCGGTATTAGCCCTCCAGAAGGCGGCGACGGTGTTTGTCTCGTATTTGAGTTCGCAGTACGTTTTCCCCCCCCCCGTCCCCTGCATTCTTTTCTTGAGGTCACTCTACGGGCAAGTGTCGGGGTGGCCGTGGGTTGGGATAGGCGTCGCCGGGCTTTTTGTTGAAGGCTGGGGCTGGGGCTGACGTTAAACGTGTGCAGCGCCAACGAGGCAACCCTCAAACGAACGGTCGCGCCGGCGGACGTGTTCCATGCGCTAACGGAGTTGGAGTTTGATTCGTTCCGCGGGCGGTTGGAGAAGGAGTTGGATGCGTTTACGGAGTTGAAGGCCGGGAAGAGGAGGGGGAAGGGTCAGGGGGGTAGTTCGGGAACAGCGGTGGCGGTGGGAGAGAAGGGTGTTGCTGGTGCTGGTGCTGGTGATGCTGCTGCTGAGATGATGGAGGTGGATGAGGAGGACGAGGATCGCGGGGCGAAGAGGGTTAAGAGGGGTGCTGCTGCTGCTGCTGCCGTTGCTGGTGCGAAGGATGATCAGAAAATGTCGGATGGGGATGAGACGCAGGAGGAGCCGGGGCGGGGGGATGGGGATGGGGATGAGACGGAGGAGGTGGAGGAGGTAGAAGAAGAGGATGACGAGGATGAAGACGACGACGAAGACGAGGAGGATGAGGACGAGGAGGAGGGCGAGGAGGAACCCAAGGAGGAGGACGATATCGACCGGGTCGAGGATCTGGATGGAGGCGACGCCAGGCATCGCGCCAGAGTCATGAACCCGGATGTCGACGGGGATGAGACCGACAGTGAGAATGAGTCTGGGCCCGGGAACCAGCTGAGGGGGGAATTGGGTTGACCACTTTTCAGCAAAGATCCGTGTCTAATGCTTGCAATGTACAAATGCGTGTTGATACCCAAATCAACTACAGTTATCCTAGTACTTCAAAGTCGTCATATGCCATAGAAATTGCCTCCGACAACACCAGCGGTTGCCATATTATGCATTGTGATAGTACAGTTGAACCCGTAGGCTCGGGTAGAGGTAGAAACAACTGAGCTAAGCCAGAGCGGACGCAGCCCTCCCTTCCATCAATAAATGCTCTCGTGGACATCCTCCATTTCCTGCCGAACACCTGAAACGCCAGCACCCCGAATAGTCTATCATTGGTATCTCCGTAAACCAGATCCGAACAAATCCCCGACTGAAATCCCGCAAAAACAAAACATCAAGCAGTATTTACGCAGCCGGCTCGTTTAGAAGGCTGCTCATCCCATTGGGAACCGATTTCGGCGAGATGGTCTCCGGCTGTTGCCAGCGGCTGGTGCTCCGAGGAGGCGTCGATTCGCCCTTGCCCACCAGCTGAGGAACCATCGGGCCATTATTGCGCGCAGCGCCCGGAGGCAGGGGAACCATCGGCTTGTTGTCTTCCTTCTCCAACTTGACAGCCTTGTCGCCGTCGGCCGGGACCTTCTGCGCCTTAGTGACTTTTCCGAAGTTGTTGATCTTCGAGTTCTTGGCCGGCTCTGTCTTCCTCGTCCGCTTCTTTGGCACAGTTTTCTTGGGCGCAGCCTTCCTCGTGCCGTTGGTCTTGGAGGCTTGGAGGACGTCCTGAAGACTGCGTCCGCGGCTAGCGGGATTGGGACACGCGGGTTTGGATAGTGCCTCGGACAAGTCCTTCGAAATCTCCTCGTCATGGCTGGAAGACGGAGTAAGAAACCCAGTCGGTGTGCGCTGCTTCTTCCGGGGCGTCTGGATGACAATCTCGACTTCTCCTTGCTCATTTTTCACCCGCTCGGCCTCGGACAGATTGCATTCATCAAATACCTCCTCTGGAGCATCCCAGCGCTTGAGCCCTGCGAGCCGAGCGACTTCTTCGCAATCCCCCTTGACCATCAGATCCCAGCAGTCCTCGAATTCTTTCCCACTGGGGGGTTCGTTGTTGATCCACATGGTCACACCGTTGCGACGACTTCGAATCACCGAGCACAGGCTCTTTACTAGGCGACGGACACCGGGGATTTTCAAACTCGTGCCCACCACAATCAAAGCATCCGGGCGAGAGCGAATGTCTGCATTCATGACGGAGGTGATGGCTTCTTCATCCGGGTTGTGTTCGTTGTAGAGGACGAGGCGCGGTCGCATCTTGCCGATCCCGTGACTTCGCTGGCCCGTGTCCATGCGGAATTGGTTGTTGATGACGCACTCGGGACACTCAGGGGCATCCGGCCGATCGAACAAACTCCCATCAAAGTTGCTCAAATGGCGGCACTTCTGACACACCATTTTCTCGAGACTGCCGTGCAATTGGATGGTGCGCGGCCATGGCGCTTTGACATTAAGAGGAATCTGGGTGGCCAGCGGGGGCATTGATGTCTCAATCCCATCAATGTTCTGAGTGTAGAGGCGCGTCAGGCGGTTTTCCTGGCCCAAACGAGCCAGCATGTGGTGGAACGCGGTCGGGGAGGTGTTGGCAGCCTCCTCCGACAGCGACCGGACCATGTCCTGGAAAGAAGCGGTCAAGGTTTCATCCTGATACACCGCAGCATCGAAGAGGAGCTTTCCCGACGCTTTGAGGTTGTGTTTCTTTTGAAGAGTTTTGAAGAGACCATCGCTGGAGCGAAAATCGGGAACTAGCAGGAACAATTAAATTAGAATTAAACGCCGTCATTGTGGTATGGGGGGTGGGGAGGGGGGGAGGAAGTATAGGAAGGGTTTCTTTTGAGGCAGAGTGATGATCAGGGCAAGGGAGGTTGCATACTTCCTGCAGACGTGGAAATGCCAGCACCGGCAATGACGACAATTTTGCGATGACGGCGGAGAGTCTTGACGAGATAATCGATCTGCGACTGCTGCTGATCATAGGAGAGGGAGGCGCCAGACGATAGGTCAAGATGCTGAGTGCAGCGTTCCTTAGGGGCGGCCACTCGACGCTTCTTCCGAGCGGGCGGCAAGTCGTCTTGGCTGCGGGCGGCAGCACTACCACTACTAGCTTCCTCCGTTTCTTGCTGCGATGGGGGCGGCGACGGATAGAACTCCGGTGGTGTCATCGGTGAGGGGGGAGCTGAGCTCAGGCTCGAACAATCCGAATCATCATCCATGCCTAGAGAGGCTAGCTGATTGTGTGGTGTTGAACACGAAGAGTTGAAGGAGGAGGTGGTGGTGGTGTTGGAGGAGGTGTTGGTCTGGGTTCGAGATCGTGAAGTAGGCGCCATTTGGTCAGACCGGGAGAAGGTTGAGGAGCAAAGAGAAACACAAAAAGTTTGAATCACACGAAAAAAGGTGGCCGGTCGACAGCAACGGCGTTTGGGACGGAAGTTGTCGGGTACTCGTACTAGAGATCCGTGGAGAGTAGCATCGAGCACGGATGAGAGAATTGGAACATCAATTGCAGACGAGGAAGGACCGGTAAGGGGCGCGGGTTCCGAGCAGAGAATTTAATTCCCTCCAGTCTTCCTTTGTTCGGAGGGGAGAGGGAGGGGGGGGGGGGTTGGAAAGAAATTGGCAAACGACCTGGAACCAGACACGGAGAAGTAAAGATATTTAACAATCAGAAGGGGGAGGGAAAAGAAAAGAATAGCGACTCAAACAGAGAGGAAGAGGGAGAAAGGGAAGAAGAAAGAGGACGAGGACGAGACACCAGAAACAGAACAGAACACTCGAGCCCCGTGACTATTGGGGGTCAAGGGAGAATGATGAGGTCAAGTGGGATGATGGTGGCTGAATAGGTGAACAGATGAATGGAACAACAAGGAGGAGAAAGAAATCTAGCCAGGAAGAGGAGAGGAGGAAAGGAACTAGAAAACTGGAAACGCTGAAGGAATTGGAACTGGAACACCCGTCCGGCTGCCGGTCAGATCGTCTCTTTTTTCGCTTGCAGCGTGTTTATTTTGACCCACGGGCAAAGAGAGAGGAGAGGAGCCAAGTTGTCGAAGAGAGAGAGAGAGAGATAGGGCACAATGCCAATGCTGGCTGCTGCTGTTGCTGTCGGGAGTCTAGTGGGTAAAAGGCGGGGGTGGAAGTCCAGAGAAGAGAAAACTAAGAAGACAGCAACGGTCGGTATGTTTCGAAGAATGTATGAATTAATTGGGTTGACGGTTATAGTTGGTTGGTATCTCTATAGATGCTATCTGGCTCGTTGTTGCATGGCGAGGCTGTGATAACTACGGTAGTTATATATTATTATATCATCGGACAGGGCAGGGCAGAGATGGAAAAAAGGAAGAGGGTAACGAAAATTCTGGTAAAGCCATACGCAGTGGGGGAGTGTGTTTCCACAGTGTTGGCTGATCTCGTTACCGGACTCTTACGCTGCGAAGAGAATCGCGGTTCGACACTCCCGTGTCTACTTCCTCCTCCACTTCGTCTGATTGGCGGAACCAGCATAGTTTTTATAGTCCAGGTTAGTTAACTGGCGCAGTGAGTGAGTGAGTGCTGCTGTTCCCCCTCCCAAAGTCGCCCGGTCGCATTGTGTCTGGCAGTCCATTGACAAGTCATCGAACTTCAAGTAACATGTTCCTGGGACTGACGGTGGTCATCAACCCATATTTTTGATTTTCGTGATGTCTATTGAAGTTGCTCAGGGCTCCAGCTGGCTAGAAAAACTTCCAATTTCAGCTAGCCCCCGTCCGCTCAACACTTCCAGCTCGATAGCATGGATCCCATGCTAGCACACAGGATGATATCCCAACATGATCCCTTTTCTGGGACCTAACAACAACACACCGAGACGCGTCTTGAGGTGCAGATCTCACTACCTGAGTATCAGCCACATCCAAAGAGCTGTCCACTTAATAAAGACCAATCTCTAATAGACTCCGTCCATCTGTCGTAAAGCACATGTAGAATGGTTACTGCCGAGCAGCGATCTCTAATCTAGTAGTTCGTAGTTACATCCTGCCCACAGCTGCATCCATCCATCCATCCATGGAGACGTTTTGACTTGGATCAGGGTTGATGATGTCGCGTGAATCGGAAGTGGGGGAGGGTTTTGATTGGCTCGCCCGTTGGCCCGGCTACGGCAGGCAGCACATGATCTCACATGACGCTGACTAAGGGGCTCCGGGGAGGGGATCCACCCACGCCCACCAACTAGTTAGTCAGTTAGTGACTTACAAATGAAACTAACATCATGAGCATCGTCTGGATTCATGCTTTTTGTTCGCCCTGTGTGTGAGTAAGGGTGGATTACGAGCTTCGCAGAGTGGGAGGTTATGAGGTACTTACTTCTCTGATCTCTGAAACAATTCCCAATTTTGCCCTGCCTGGCGTCTGCTAGTCGTGTTCTTCAACACCCCACCCCCCGTTGTGACTGTTTCCGGGGTCTATCGCTTTAAACTATGCTGCCGGGCCAGTGCGATATCGCTCTCCCTTTTAGGCATTTTGATAACTGTTAATCAAACCTTTCCCCGACCCCATCATGCCCCTGATGATGGAGGACGGTATCAATGTTGACGATCTCTTCGGGGAGCCTGCCTCCTTGGAGCTGGGCCTGCCATCTACCACTTCCACTAAAGGCCTGGCCGAGCGCTTGGATGAAATGCGCTTGCTCGGTTGCTGCCAGTGAGTCGCACCCCCTCCCCCCCCACCACAGCAGATCATCTTCAGACTTTGCCAGCTAACATCCGAACCAGGAAAATTGCATGGTCCAAATTAGGCTGCATTGCCTACGTCGCCCAGGATCCGTCCAAAGTGCATGTCCGTTATCTTCAGTGCCAGCCGACTGATGGCAAATGGACGCTCAGTGATGAGACACCCTTGCTGCCTGTCACGGAAGCCCATGGTGGCACCGCCTTGGTGCATCTTAGTTGGAACGAGTCTGGCTCTGAGTTGGCTGTAGTTGATCTGTCGGGCCGACTCTCCATTTATTCAATTCCGATAGCGCTCAACAGTGTCAACGGGCTTCGACCACCGTCCTTGGAACCCGACGATAGTGCGCAGATAGTCGGGATGCTGTGGTTGAACACCCAACGCTCCGTGAGTACCCTAGGAAGCTTTGCTGGAGTATGCTCTTAACCTTCTTCAGGTGCACGCTTTTTATCAAGCCGCCAAAGTGCAAGGTCGCTGGGCTTATTCGCCATATCGTCGTCGGCCAATTGGTCCCTTCCACCCAGCCAACAAGGCTGCGCTGGTCTACATCACCAGGTCTGGAATGATCAAGCTCTTGTATCAAAACCCGGATGGGAAATGGGCCGAGATATCTGCCGAGCTGAAGAACACCAGTTACTCGGACCGGATGTTAACCCACGCGGCATTGGTAGCGACCCAAACTGGGATTCTCGTTGCCACATACTCAGCTTGCCAGAAGATCTGTGTCTACCGAGTACAGATCAACTGGAATCCTCCTCAGTATGATCCTGCGCAGCAGCCTAAACAAACGCCTCCCCAATTTCCGGTTCCCAGCTTTCGTTTCGCACATTGTAAGGTCGAGACCTCCTGCAATGTTCCTGGTCCCGCGCGAAACAATGGGGATCCTTCCGATAATCTTCACCTACCTTTTCCTAACTCTCTCTACTGTCTCACCCGCTTGGACGTCATCCTTCCAACGTCTGATAATGCGGCAGGGTCCTCTGCAACCCCGTGGATCGTTGCAACATTTTCCATCCTCCCTCAGATCGCCCCTGACCATCCACACCAGCAGGGACCGTCGAGTATTATTGTACGATGGCAACTTGAATCTGCGCCCCTCACTCTCCACCCCAAATTCGATGAAGTCACGACAAAGAGAAATAGCATGCAGATCAAGGCAAGTCTCTCGCAAAAAGCGAAAATATGGGAATGAGAAGTGCTAACATACGTCCAGGCCAAGGCTGTCCTCAATCGATTAGACGATATCTTTTGTGATAGATACGTCGTGTCAATAGATCACATTGAATATGCCAATGTGCTAGCCGTGACCTACGATGACAGCTCTATCTCTTTTTACGATCCAAAAACCATGGCTGCATTCAACGGAGTTGATGATGCGAACACGGTGACTAGCCTGGCCCAAGCAGGTTTCCATTATTCTCCCAACACTCCAGGTCAGTATTCATTCTTTCCCTCGATACTGAGTATCACTAAGCACTAGATTTAGGCCTTCATTTCAGCTTTTCACCCAGCGCCTGTGCTGCTGTTATGTTGGACAGCAGCGGGCACGTCCAGCTTCGGGTGATGGAGCACTCGTATGGAGCAGACAATGGCCTCTACGACGAGAGTACGTCATTCCACCCAAGTCAGACCGGCTCATGCTCTAATATCATGATTCAGATAAATTCTCAGCAGCTATCGCTTCATTGACATTGGCATTCTGTCGTGGATGTGGAAGTGAAGTTAACACGGACGATATCTTATTAATATTAATACGTCAACTCTCCTCTGGTCAGTTCCCTTCTTGTACTTTTCATGGCCATGTTTTGAGACTAACGACAATTACAGACGCTCAAACCTCCTTCATCAACGAAGTCTACCGCGCGCTGCCCATCAATTGCAACTTCACCGTGGAACAGGACAAGCTCATGAACCACCCGTATATCCCACGTTGTCTCAGCATTCAGGCTGCACTGGGCAACAAGGGTAAAAATCACCAGCGAGGCTTCGCATCTTCTGTCTCGTGGTTTATCCTCCAACTGCGCCACGCCTCAATTCTCTACCCGTTCTTTTTTCAGTATAATAAGGGGATTCAAGCAGAGCCCCATGACCCTGGTATGATCACTCCGTGCGCCCAATTGAGATCCTCACTAACCATATACTACTCATAGATGTTCTTCGTATGGTCCTCGGTAACACCAAATGGGCCCTTGACTTTTCACTTTATATCCTCCACGAACTTTTCAATCTTGCAGACGAATTCGAAGATGTATCTTCCGACCAAGAGGCTTTCAACCAGAAACGTAAGTTGGCGACTCTTGTCTCAGGAATGAAAGTTAACCTCAATGTCTTATGACAGTCAAAACCACCAACTCTCTCTCTCTCATAATCCTCCTCTCTAGCATGTCTCGGGCCTTTCTTCGCTTCATTTGCCGTGGCCTGCGCGGCATTCACGCCGGCTACGCCAATGCCCCGCTCACGGGCGACGCTCGCGTGTATTACGCGGAGATCTGCCAGGCTGTAGAAACGTCGCCTGCTGCCATCGATGTGTACGAGAAATTCCTCGCCGGCGTCGACTCCGCCGTCCGCCACGCTTACCACGGCGCCGGGTTTGGCGACGCAGAACGCCCCGGCCCCGAGAAGGAGTTACTGGTCAACGCGCGCATTCCGCCGGTCCTGGTGACCGCCGTCTCCACCATCCTGCGGCAGACGATCCCAAGCCTCCGGTCCGACGTGAACCGCATGGATATCTACATGCGTGACTACAGCTGGCTTGGGGTGGACTCGGATCGCCCCACGGAGCTGTACCGCCGCACCCGCGGACTGGACATCATCAAGAAGATTCCCATCCGGCTGAACCCCGCCACAAATGGGACTGCGCAACCGTCGCTGGGTGAGATCAAGTCGAAGGATGGTCATGCGGCGACGGGGGTAGCGGCCGGCCAGCCGTTACGAAGGAGGTGTGTGCGTTGCTGTGAGGTCTCGGAGGGGTCGTATCCGCCGCGCTCGGTGCTGGCGTTCCGGATGATCTTCAAACTCGGACATTTACGGGCGTGCATTTGTTGTGGGATGTGGATTCTGGAGGCTGGATCTGGTTCGTCGGAGGCGGGAAAGCCGATGGGGGCTTAATTCTTTTCTTCTCACTTCCGCGGAAATCTAGAGGTGCACATGACATGTGCAGTGGACTTTAGTTGAAGGCCCGGGGGGGAATTCAGGTATGATATATGATGTATGGACAGTTTAGGTCACGAGCGTGTGTACATAGACCAATTGTCTTGGCACTGTTAAATCTGAAGTCGGACTTTACTCGTGATAAGGGTGGTGAGAGAAACGGACATCCTGACAGCATGAGAAGGGGCTGCGGAGCAGATACGTACTACGTAGTCTACTATCTGAAGAAACTACCAATGCCCACCATCATCCTACTCTACACATGGGAAATGACAACCCTCTACTACTACCCGTTGAAGCAAGATAAAAGTTTGGAAAAGGTGTGTGGTATCATGTCATGTAAAGCCTTTCATTGAAGGGAGAGAGAGAGAGAGACCGAAGAGAAACAAAAATTTTATAGTCAAATGATTAATTTGCAATCTTTACTTTTTCCGCAAGACAACAAAAGTTTAACCAATTTTCAATAAAAAAATTTTATTTCTTCTTCTTTCTCTTCTTCCCTAGATGGATTAACCGGACCCCCTTTCCCACACAAGGTTGCCACAGGTCAAAACCGCGCCCCTTTGTTCCATCATCAAGTCTTTTGGTTTGCAGAACAATTGGCGTGTTCCCCCGTCTTCAAAGAAAAACAAACTCCATCCCTTTGCCCCTTAAGGTTTCTTTACATTTAAGCCTGTACGCGCAGAAAGAGTTAGTGTGGGTGCTTTTTTTTTTGTGGTGTTCCCATTCGTCGCCCGAGGGAAGAACAGGTTGGCTTGGTGGGTGGTGGATGGTGGATGGTGGCATATCGTACCTTAACAGCGTACTTGCGCTGGGGGAAGTGGATCTCCTTCTTGCGCTGGCGCTCGGTCTTGAGGGTGGCCTCGTGCTTGGTGAGGCGGCGGCGGATGGCGCGGGTCTGCTTGGCGCGGAGGTCAAGGGGAGCGTACTTCTTGTTCTGGTAGAACAGGCGGAGCTGGGCACGCTGATTGGCGTTGATGACGGTGAGAACGCGAGCGATCGACTTGCGAACGTCGTGGCTGTTTTTTGCGAGGGGGAATCAATCAGCATTTCCAGTCCTGAAATTCCTTTTTGTTTTTGAGGTGCTGTGTGAGGTTTGTCGGGATTGTGAATGCGATGCGAAATTGAGAATTGCGCCTGTCTGATGTCGAGTTTTTTTCTTGTCCCTTCTTCAGGGTGGATTCGAATGCGGGGTTTGATTGTGGTTGATTTGATCGAATTCCTTCCATGTTGAATCGTGACTCCTTCTGATGTTCTTATCCCCGCGGTGTTGTCGGAGTCGCTCTCGATTTGTTGTCGTGTTGTGTATATCGTCTTATCGAATCCCCTTCCCCATCCTCCTCCTTTCCCTCCGGGTTTCCCGACAGGTCGCAATTTCTCGCATCACAAACACATATACACACACAAAGACAAGGGGGCATAAAACAGGGCTATAAAACGCACATTCTCGTGGTCTTCGACGAGGCACCGTTGGCGATCTTCTGGACACGGAGCTGGCTGAGCTCGGTCTTCAACTCCTCCAACTGCTTGGTGAGGTCATCCTTGCTCTTTCCCCAGAGCTGACCAGCCTTGACCTTGGACGACTATTTGGTGGAAAATATCAGTTCCCTGTGCTCGTAGCTCGAACAGCAATCCAACATACCATGGTGGGCGGCTTCGTGTCGGTATCGTAACGGGTTGTCGACGTGAAGGGGATTGAAGATGGACCGGGTCAATTTGGTGATGGTCGTTGTGGGACTAGGGTTTGATTTTTTCTGGGTGTGCGGCGGCTTAAGCGGGCACGTGATGTGTGGCTGGTGCTGTCGGGGGAGAAGATGTGGATGGTGGACGGTGGGCGGTGTAGGTCTGGGCGGTGTAGGCCTGGGTGCCTGGACTGTCTGACTTTGACGGGGCGCCGCCGGCGCCGGCGCTGGCGCTGCGGACGGAGGGCAGCGTCATCCTCTGACTTGGCGGCCAGTCCAGTCCAGTCTCCAAAGCTATCCTCATCTAGTCCGTAGACTAAGTCAACTACAGCCCGTGTGTGTGTGTGTGTGTGTGTGTGTGTGTGTATGTTGATGAGAAACTTAGTTTCCGCAGGCCGGACGGAGGTTCTCTGACTATTCATGACTTACTACTTTACTGGTTCTACTTACTTCTTGATCCACACACCCCATTAATCCGTCAACCTCGCTATATTCATGGCTACATCAACCGGTACCGGCTGGGCACAGCTGCGGCAACAGGCCCGATCACTGGAGACTCAGGCATGCCTCTTCTCATTGTCACTCTACACATTTGGCGATCCCAACAGCTTTTAACACTTTAAAAAACAGACCGAAACCCTCTTCCACACCTACTCACAATACGCCGCTCTAACCAAACCACCCCCCACCCCATCCGAAGAAGAACTCCGCACCGAATCCCAACTGAAGGAGATCCTCGATCGAGTGCGCAAACCCACCTGTCCCCTCCCCCTCCCCCATCTTCCGCCTCTCACTAACTCCCCGAAAAAAGCGAGAAACAACAATAACCCACCTCTCGCGCCTCCTCGACAGCGAAGCCACCCTGACCGCCTCCGCCCTGAAGCAGAACAACCTCGCCCGCCACCGCGAGATCCTCGCCGACCACCGCCGCGAGTTCGCCCGCATCACCGCCGCCATCGCCGAGGCCCGCGACCGCGCCAATCTGCTGAGCCATGTCCGCCACGACATCGACGCCTTCCGCTCCCAGAACCAGTCCGAGGCCGACTACATGCTCGAGGAGCGCGGCCGCATCGACGAGAGCCACAACATGATCGACGGCGTGCTGAGCCAGGCGTACGCCATCAATGAGAACTTCGGGCTGCAGCGCGAGACGCTGGCGAGCATTAATCGGCGGATCGTCGGCGCGGCGGGCGCCGTGCCCGGCATGAATGCGTTGATTGGGAAGATTGGGAATAAGCGGCGGAGGGATGCGGTGATTCTGGGGGCGTTTGTCGGGGTGTGTTTCTTGGTGGTGTTCTTCTTGAGATGATATTTCTTGCGGTGAGGGTATATCGCATCGGATGGTTTGGGAGGGGAGGGGGTGGAACTGGGGATATGGGATATACTGGGCCGGGGGGATATGGGCAGGGTGGTGGTGGTGGTGGTGGTGGTGGTTGTGGGCTGAGAGTGAGTTTGATTAATTTGACGGTATGAGAAGGCGTTCGGGAATGTTTCTTGTCTTGCTATACAGAGTATACTAATAGGAGAGGGGAGATAGTTTGTATCTCCCTCTTCGGTGTTGGGAGAGGTGTCTCGATATTTTTGCATGCTAGCATATACCTAGTATCTATCTTACAGTGCGGCATCCCCCAACCAATGCTACTTGATATGTACATACACATCCAACCGCCATATGCTTGGCTATCATGGCTGCCCCAAATCAAGGCACCACAACCCTAGCCTTCTTCACCTGCTCGGCCTTCTGCTCGCTGGCCCACTCCGCCGCCGGCGTCTCACTCTCCACACTCACGCGGCGCTCCTGCGCCAGCTTCCGGACGCCGTTGTTCAGCGCCTCCTTCTCCTCCGGCTCGGCGTTGCCACTGCCCGCCCACCGGATGCGGCAGTTCTCGTCCAGCAGGTAGACATACCCGACCTTGGAGTTCATCATGCCGATCGTCTCGCGCAGCCGCTCGTCCACGCCCTTGGTCACCAGGAAGTACTTGTCGTGCTGCGCGCTGGGCAGGTTCCGGCGCATCGACCACATGAACATCTTGACGATCGCCCCCTTAAGCGGGTTCTGCTCGAGGTTGATGTCGACCTTCTGCACGATGTTCTTGTCGTGGGAACCCTCCACTGCTGCCTGAAACGCCTCGTACAAACCCGGGTTCTTCTCCCGGTGCGTGAACGTCGACGTCTGGTTCTCGGCCCACAGGCTCGAGAAGATGTTGACCACGGTGATGCGGCCCCGGAAGAGCGGGGTCGTGTCGCGCGGCTGCCGCTTCGAGGCCAGCGTGATGCCCCGCATGTTGGGGAAGTACAGGGCCTTGTCGCGCTTAAAGAGCCGCGTGTTCGCCACGAAGCTCTTGCCTTCGTGGTGGCGCATGTTGTTCCATTCGCGGAAATACGGCTTGGCTACTTGGTGGGCTCTGTGATGGCGGGGTTGAGTGGTTAGTTATGTCTCTTCTGTTTTTGTTTCTTCGTGTTGTAAAGAGGAGGTGGGGGTTGGAGAGGAGTTAGGAGGTCATGAGTTTTTTGCGGGGGAAGAGGCAAGTGTATAGAGATGGACCTTGCGACGAGGTGAGATATCTGCCCAGAAAAAAGGCGACGTACAGTTGTTTCCGTCTTTCCAAGTGTCTCTCGTAGTTAACAAAGTCATCTCGTCGTTGCCCGAATGATCGCTCGTCGACACCGGTGTTTTGTCCCTCACTCGGAGGCACGGGAGACCCGATGGGTCGGTCTAGAGGCGGAGGCACGAAGTCTTGGCCGGGTGTTGGGGTTGGAATCTTGGAGGCTGTTGGAGAGTAGACGGGTTTGGAAGGGACTTTGGTTGTAGCTGGCGTGGGCGAGGGTTTGCTGCTGCTGCTGCCGTTGCTGCTGCTGGCATAGTACCGCAGCGCAGGTCTGTCAAGGTGCGCAGTCGCCTTACGCAATTGACAGCTGAGACAGCGACCATTTTGCAAGTCTGAAAGAGACGACAACAGCCTATTAGGCTTCCACATGGTGATGTTTCTTGGGTGGTATGGATGAGATAAAGACAGTGCGGCAATTCTTGTTGTAAGTCGTTGCTTGCTGGAGTACTGTACAAAACTGCCGGTCCGCACTACGGAGACTCGGTCGGAATGAATGGGGCCCACTTCGAAGCCCGTCCCCGAGTTTAATTGCTTTCCAGAGGTCCCGTGACTTGGTGGCATTTTCGTGGTTCGGGTTACGCGTGACTGTCCTCGCCGGTCGTGTCATCCCTCGGTCATTCCTCTTTGGTCTCGGACTGAATTTATGTGAATGTGAGAGTGAGAGTGCTTTTTCTAAGAGCCTTGCTGTCGCCTGCTAGGCCGCAGTCACGCAGAAGACTATTACTCATGGCTCGACGGTCTCTGGCTCTGGGCGTCGGGACCTCAGCCACCATACCATGGCGTCCGCGGATGCGGCCAAAAAGGCCTTCTTTGAGGGCTTGGAGCGGCTGGATTCTTTGTCCGAGGATGAGGAAGACCGAATGACTCTGAGATCTCATTCAAAGATCAAGAAAGTGTTAAGAGATGAGGGATCCGCTGTCATGAAGCTTAGGTCTACCGTCACGAAAACTGAAGTCCGAGTGATTGCACCTTCCACTCTTGAAGCTTGCCCTGAGCGTGAGAAACGCCCTCGTTGCGTTGCTGCTGCTGCAAGATCAGACGAGACTTTCACAGAAGTGACTGTGCAGAGCACCTCAGGGACAGCGGGAGAGATGCCTCGAAATAAGAAAACTGTGCCTGTCTCGGGCAAGGGAAAACGACAATGCTCGTCCAGGACGGTTCCGGAAGAGCAGCAGATCTTCAAAGGTCTTGTCTTCTGTAGGTCTTCCTTCACTTTCGGGTTCTCATCTTGGATTCTCGAGCTTACCCCGTTTGTATCTCAGTCTTCTTTCCGAACAAGAGTGCCTCAGCCCTTCGACGCCTGCGTATCCAGCGCGCGCAGGATTACGGTGCTTCTGCTGCAGAAAACTGGGGCGACCAAGTCACTCATGTTATAGTGGATAAGGGAATCACTTTTCACGACGTCAAAAAGCATCTCCATGTCGAATCATTTCCGGTAGGTGAAGCAGACAAAAGGCCTGGTGAGACCCATTCTCTGTTGACACGGACACAGTCCACTGTCGCGCTCGTCGACGAAAGCTACCCTTCTGAGTGTGTCAAGTTTCGCACTGTGTTGAATACAGCTCAGGTTCGGTTCCGCGTTAGCGGTACACCTGTCCCTGCAGGAGATAAAGGCTCTTCGCCTGTGATCGAACCCTCAGGTGGTGATTCCTTATCGATCAAACCGAGCCGACGAGAGCAGCAGCAACAACACGAGACACAATCGCATACCGAGCTACACAGTCTGACTACTAAAGGACAAACTGCTGGGCGGCAGGCTACCGAACAACAAACCTCTGAGCTGTATACTGCGGAGCAGGTGGTTGAGTGCTCGAATGACCTACATACTGTTTCCGAACCTGTTCGAGAGCGGGATGCCTTGGATGATCTCATCGAAGAAGCAAAGGCTGTAAAAGATCTGGTAAGGACCAACAGAATTAGCCCGCCTGGATTGTCAATCTAATCAAGAGTAGCCGTTAGATTCTGAGGATGAGCAAAGTACGGCTGAAACATCTGATCCCGAGGCGTCTGACTCGGGCGAATCACAGCCGAAGAAGAGGAAGATGAGCGCACGTAGGAGTGAGGCGCAATCTGACTGGCAGCAGAATTTTGTATGCATGCAGAGGCATGATTCAAAGGCCAATGCTGAAAATGCAAACAATCGGACCATTGCCGTCCTACAGCAAATGCTGGACTACTATGATCGATCAGGGGACCAATGGCGCACGCTCGCCTATCGCAAGGCGATCAGTGCCCTTCGGAAACAACCGAAGAAAATTGCCACCAGATCCCAGGCTTTGTCACTGCCAGGGATTGGCACACGTCTGGCCGACAAGATTGAAGAGATTGTGTTCACGAATCGCCTGCGTCGGTTGGAAAACGCCAACAGCACTCCTGAAGATCGGATACTCCAGGAGTTTCTAGGCGTCTATGGGGCTGGCGTTTCCCAAGCCTCGAGATGGCTTGCTCAAGGCTACCGGTCGCTGGAAGACCTGAAAGCCAAAGCGCCCCTTACGCAGAATCAACGGGTGGGCGTGGAGCATTATCATGATTTCGCCCAGCGTATTCCACGGAACGAGGTTGAAGTGCACGGAGAGATCGTGCGGGAGGCAGTGCGAAAGGCTGATCCAGAGATGCAGGTCATTATTGGGGGTTCCTACCGACGTGGTTCGTCCACTTCAGGCGACATTGACCTGATTATCACCAATCCCTCCGCTACGATAGAGCAGATTCGGACCATCATGATCGAAACCGTCGTCCCGGGACTCTTCCAGGCAGGCTTCCTACAGACCAGCCTGGCTGCCACCTCCCGCGGCGATGGATCCAAATGGCACGGGGCCTCGAAGCTTCCTAACGGTCGGCTCTGGCGACGGATCGACCTGCTTTTCGTGCCCGGATCTGAGATCGGAGCAGCTTTGATCTACTTCACTGGCAACGACATCTTCAACAGGAGCATGAGACTCCTGGCCAGCAAGAAGGGCATGCGGCTGAACCAGCGAGGGCTTTACGCCGACGTGCTACGCGGACCTCAGCGAGTCAAACTGACCACAGGCCGGCTGGTCGAAGGACGCGATGAGCGGCGAATCTTCGAGATTCTGGGAGTCCCTTGGCGGCCTCCCGAGCATCGCATCTGCTGAAGTGCCCAAAATATATTTTTTTTGGTTTGGTCTACCTCAAGAGACACGTAGGGACAAGACGGGGAGCCAGGGTGACAGATAACATCGGAGCTGCCAGTGGGGATCCATTGATGATGCATTTGCTTTTTTGTCATCCCAGACCGACTTCTCTCCGTGCGTCAGAACTTTTCGCTGTATGTGCTTGACATACATACACGGCAACAGCAGCGAGGAGGCCCGAAATTCCCGCAGTGGATATGGAACTGGACGGCTGGGATGGAAGGAGCCGGGGAGGGTTTTCTTTTTGGAAAACCTTTTTGTCTTTTCTGTTCTTTTGGCATTGATTTGTATTTACGTTGAACTTGAGATAGCCACTAGTAAGGAAGATTCCACTATGTGTATATTCGTGTTTGTGTAGTAAAAGATAGTAATGTTATACTTTGTTGTCCATCCAAAGTTTCATTCGGAGCCGAGACCGAACAAAAGGCGGTCACCGAAATTCCCTAGAATCCATAGTTGAGAGTGAGGAGGGCAGCCACCGAGTACGGAGAGAGAGAGAAGCGGAGAGAGGAAAGAAGGCAGTGGTGGCAGTCAGTTAGGGAGTCCAGTTTGGGTGTGGGAGGTGGACCAGCCAATTAGCCAGCAATGGTCGCACA